AACCTTCATGGAAATGCAGCATGAAGCTTCATCTTCCTCAACTCGAACTCCCTCAAAACTTCATCAATTCTTAAAATTCAAGACCCTAATCCACTTGATTTCTCATGCTGAACACGATCATACCCTTAAAATCAACTGAAACCTCCTAAATCCATGAACCCGATCCATGATCCAAAATATACTCAATCATCAATCTTAACAATTCTTGAAATTAAATGTCTCAGATCACTCACCAACTCACCCTGAACATTTCTTGCTATTAAACTAAGCTCATCTCTCAATATAACAAGAGTTCTTGGTCATCAAAGAAATGAGGTCCCTAGTTCAATCTTCACCAATTCTCTTCAAACTTTCCAGAAATGATCCCCTATTGGTCTCTAACAATTCTACACTAATAATTCAACCTAATCATGCCTAAATTAAGGTGCACGAAGAAATTTGCAAACCTGGTTAAATTGAGTGAACAGATGATGAAATCCACCAAATCAATGCTTCAATCTTTCCCAATTCCTTCACTGAGTAATCTTCTAGCTTCTGTATGCAAAAAGAATGGCTGAAAATGCTTGATTCTTGAAAACCGATTTTGAATTGCTTCCTTGAAATCTCAATCACCAACTCTTCAATTCTCCATGGATTTGATCTCAATTCAATCTGCACAGCTTCACTATGATGTATTGTATGTGTTTGTGAAGAAAAAAGGGATGGAAATGAAGAAAAATGAAGAATTGACACTTGACTTGCAATGGAAGATTTTGGATTTCACTCTCTCTTCTCTACACCTATTCACACCAACCCTGCATCTGAGCAAGTTACAATCATCTTATAGGGTGGTTTAGAATCTTCTAGAACCATCTAGGATCATCCAATGAGAAATTGAACTTTTCATGTCATGACATTTTGAATCCAATTCTCCTTACATGCTATCTCATGCCAAGCTCCTTGTAATAACCAATTCTGACTTGAATTTATCCCCACATGCGATTTAGGATGAGTTACAATGCATAACCACCTTGATCATTGAGTTCTTTTGAGTTTTGGTTTGGTACCTTAATATGCAAGTAAGCCATTTCCAAAGCAACCCTATGATCCAAGCCCCAAATCAAAATTGTGGCTGAACCATTGTTCTTAGAATGTCATTTGGAGTCAAACTGACCTATTATATGACATGGTTTGGACTTATAGCTTGGGATTTCCATTTTTCAATTTCATCTTAATTAACTTATGCCTCATTTTTAGGCCATTTTTATCACTTTTTGATATGAGCCTTTTCAACATCTCATGACCTCCCTACTAGCCTTAAAACATCATTCTAAGCAAGTTTGATGTTGAAGATTTTTCCATTTGAAGCTTGGAAATAGGAGATATGGCCTTATGCTTGAAATGACCTATAACCTCCAAATGACCAAAATGCCCTTGACTTGTCAAAGCCATAAGTTGAGTTCTACAAATCCTATAAAGGACTTCTAGTACTATCTAGAAAGCTAAGAAGATTCTCTACAACATTCATGTTGACCAAGAGTTCATAGGAATCATCCTACTAGGGCAAACGTTGGATGCAAGTTGGGTGACTTTCAAGGACCCAGATTCACATACCTCAGATGACCTGTAATTTGTCAAAGTCATAACTTGAGCTCTACAAATCCTATCAAGTACTTATAGTACTCAAATTAAATCTAAGAACAATCTCTACAACATTCATGTTATGGGGAAGATGAGATGACAATCACATCTTGAGCTAAACTGCCTTGAAGATAGGGATCAAACTAGGGGATTTTACACTGTCAAGCCTTAGAAACCCTAGCTTAAAACTTCTCAAACTCATCAATCATGATGAGTTGGTCTAGGAATCATCCTTATAGAATCTCAATACATCATTCCATGATCACATGGCTCTTGGATTAGGTCTCAACCCTCTCCAAACCATCAGTTGACCTAGGGTTGACCCTGTCAAACCCTAATTCCACCACTCATGGCTGAATCTTCTGAATTCTTGTACAATGGCCTCCCTAGGCTTCATGATGGCTTTCAAGACATATCACAAGCTTTCTCAAAGCTTCAAGTTCATCCTCATAGTCTCAGAATCATCTGAGGAGCTCCCACAACTCTCAAGTTATGAGGCACACAACCTTGGTTTCAACCAATTCCTCTGAGGATCTCTTGAGTTCTCTGACAAAGGTATCAACCTTTGAACACTTGAACAAGCTTCTTGACTTTCTTCAAAGTCTCATACAACTCTTGATGGGTAAATAAATGTTGGTCAAATTTTGGGGTGCAACAGCCCAATCAATAGTTCAAGTCATACACTCCCATAATCCATTCTTTTTTCGGAGAGTTTCCTTCCATTATTCGTGTATGTCAAATAAAGAATCCAATTTATTTTGTTAAGTGGAAGGGAAATATCCAAATATATGTCTTATTCAAAATAAATAATTCATATTTGTAGCAATGAAATACTATTACTCCTCCCCCAAATGATTTATTACAAATATCTATGATTCATATTCTCTATAAAGTACCGGAAATTCCTTGCTTACGTATCATTGGAAAGTGAATTAACATGAATACGACACTATAGAGGTAATACAAATGATTTATTACAAATATCTATGATTTATTACAAATATCTATGATTTATTACAAATATCTATGATTCATATTCTCTATAGAGGTAATACAAAAGTATGTAAACTATAAAAACGAGTCAAGGTAGATTGTCCCACACTAGCGCTGCCGCGCAATAACTCTACCACCGAGGATCCTATTACAGGAATAGCATCGGGTACACCTGTTACAATTTTGACTGCCCAATAACCAATTTGGTCCCAAGGTAAAGAATAACCAGTTACACCAAAGGATGCAGTCAATACACCCAAAATTACACCTGTAACCCAAGTCAATTCGCGAGGTTTTTTAAAACCACCAGTGAGATACACGCGAAATACGTGCAAGATCATCATTAATACCATCATACTTGCTGACATCGATGAACTGATCAGATTAACCAACCAAAGTTAGCCTCAGTCATTATATATTGTACAGAAGCAAAAGCCTCCGTAACGGTTGGACGATAATAAAAAGTCATAGCAAAACCCGTCGCTACTTGGACTAAAAAACAAGTAAGTGTAATTCCTCCTAAACAATAAAATATATTTACATGAGGAGGGACATATTTACTAGTTATATCATCGGCAATGGCCTGAATCTCAAGACGTTCTTCGAACCAATCATAGACTTTATTGAGATAGGTAAACCAAGGGACCCCCCTTCGAACCGTATATGAAAATTTCATCTCGTACGTCTCAAACAAAAAGACTCAAATACTGGTTATTTGGAAAACATATATGTGTAATAGAAAGTTTGAAACTTCTGAAGTTAATCCTATGATTCCAGTCTTTTTTGAAGATCCAAAAAATAGAAATCTACAAGATATTCTTAGTGTTTATAATGCCAAAATTTCAAGTCGGCTCACTCGTCTTTTCTCTTGATCCTTACAGGCCTCTTGAATATTCTATTATTTACTTCATTTTTTTTGTATTGTGTATGTAATAAGATTTGACTTCTGCTTTTTTTTTATTATTGATAAGAATTTTCTTGTTAAGACCCTATAGAATCAATGGAAAACCTGAGATTCATACCAGAACCACGATGATTTCCAAAAAAACCTTTAATCGAAATCCAAGAATTCCCTGAGTAAGAACTGCTAGATCATCATTTATTCAATTTCAATAAATAGATATAATGAAAAAAAATACAAAGAAATGGATAAGCGGCGGCCGAATAAAATTCCATTTCTTTTTCTAAATGAATTCTTCTAACTCTTTCATTTTTTTTCGTCCGGTTGCGAGGTCTAAATATAAATATTAAGTATGAATCATAGTTCTAACACTTTAGAATCTATTTATTTTCTATATTCCGTGCTCCAGATACTAGAATAAATATCTGACGGGGTAAAGCCATCAATCAAGATAAGATGACGTATCCATTTTATGTTATGTACTATCAATAGGATCCATTATAACAAGTCACACACTCATATTCCAGAAATAGAGAAACAAAGAAGTTTCGCGGTCCAACTACCAAATCAAAATGGAATGGTCTAAAAATGAACGATCTAAATGCTAAACTTGACTTTTCTATTGAAAAGCTAGTTAGTTGGTTCTTGTGAATCAAATTCTCTAATTCATGGAAATTTGGTCCAGTAAAAGGGACGAATTATAAATCTCTAAAATAATAGAGAGAAATACCGCAAATAGGGCCATTGCAACCCCCATCCAAGGGGTAGTTCCCCACCCCGGAGCTACTTTACCATATTCTGAATTCAATGGTTTCAATAAATCTCCTACAACAGTTCGTCTTGGACCAGATCTAGAACTACTCTCAACGGTTTGTGTAGCCATAAATCCTATTTTTTTTATTGAGATCTGTTGACTTTGTATACCATTCCGCTGTAGATAAAGGATCTTACCATATAGATCCATTGTAGTCTTGATATTATAGAATCATGGAAACAACAACCCTAATTGCCATCTCTATATCCGGTTTAATTGTAAGTTTTACTGGGTATGCCTTATATACTGCTTTTGGGCAACCCTCTCAACAACTAAGAGATCCATTCGAAGAATATGGGGACTAGTTGAAGTAATAAGCCCCCAATATTACGATATTGGAGGCTCATTACTTCATTCAATTGAGATAATTCTCAATCATTTCGTGTTTTTAGTGGGAACTTTAGGGGGTTCTCTAAAAAAAATAGCGAAAAAAATGATTCCTAAAGTCAAGACTAAGAGGAATGTATAAACCAATGCTTCCATAGATTTGATCGTGGTTTACAATTATAGCTTTCATACCTGTTTGGGGGGATTATCTCCTGGATAAAGAAAAAGAAAGAACAAGAGTAAAACAAAATGGAATGATTGAAATCAAGATTTATCTAGTTCCCTAATATCAAATTCACATAACAACAAAAAAAATCGAATCGAAAAGGAACAAACCTATTTCTATCAGACTCCCTGTTTTTTTGTTGTTGGATCTCCAAGTTTTTTGAATGCTCCAAATTCTACTTGCGCATCCAAATTTGGATCAATACCAGCAAAAACATCTCTGAACAAGGTTGTAGCACCATGCCAAATGTGCCCAAAAAAGAAGAGCAGAGCAAACGAAACATGTCCAAAAGTAAACCAACCCCTTGGACTGCTACGAAAAACACCATCCGATTTTAAAGTAGCACGATCTAATTTAAAAATTTCACCCAATTGAGCACGTCGAGCATATTTTTTCACAGTAGCGGGATCGCTATAACTGACTCCATTGAGTTCGCCACCATAGAATTCAACAATTACACCTACTTGTTCGACACTATACTTCGATTCTGTCGTTCGAAAAGGAACATGTGCTCTAACAATTCCGTCTCCGTCTACCAAAACAACCGGAAAAGTTTCAAAAAAGGTAGGCATACGACGTACAAAAAGTTCATGCCCCTCTTTGTCTCTAAAGATAGGATGCCCTAACCAACCAACCGCTATTCCATCTCCATTGTCCAT